TACAGTCTCTTGTGCAAAGTCACAGAGCTTCTGCACAAGGTCACAGAGCTTCTGCACAAGGTCACAGAGCTTCTGTGCGAGGTCACAAGGTCACAGAGCTTCTGCACCTAAATCCAGAGCCTCTGTTCAAGCCGACGACTACAGAACGATCGAACTCTAAGTAAGGGTAATTCTACATGCTTGGCTCCCAAGAACACTCCCGAAGAATGGTCCTAACCTGGAATCTCAAGAATGCAGAGTTGTTACAGCAAGTGATTGGGCCGTAGGTGTCGTTTTGGGACAAAGGCAAAAGAAGATTTTTCACCCCATTTACTACGCAAGTAAAAATCTTGTTGAAGCTCAGTTGAATTATATCACAACGAAAAAAAAAATTACTTGCGGTAGTATTTTCCTTTGATCGTTTTCGATCCTACTTGATTGGTACTAAAGTCACTGTTCACACAGATCATTCTGCAATCAAATATCTTTTTAATAAAGCTGATGCTAAACCACAACTTATTATATGGATTATTCTCTTACAAAAATTCGATCTAGAGATTATTGATCGCAAGGGAAGTGACAATCAAGTAGCCGATCACCTTTCTAGAATTGAAGGGAAGGTATCGAGTGGGGGAAGTCATGAGATTAAGGAAGTTTTCCCAGATGAATATGTTTTGGCCATCCAACACAGTTTTCAAAAACAACATCCTTGGTATGCGGATATTGCCAACTATCTTGCATGTGGCCTTAAACCATATCATTTTCAGGAAAATCGGTTTAAAAAATTTCTTCATGATTGCAAGCATTATTTGTGGGACGATCCATTCCTTTATAAAATGGGAGCGAACCAAATTTTGAGAAAATGTGTCCCAGATGAGGAAATCCAAGCTTTGTTAAAAGATTGTCATGCATCGTCGTACGGTGGCCATTTTGGTGGACAACGTACGGCCGCTAAAATTTTACAAAGTGGATTTTTTGGGCCCACCATGTTTAAAGATGCATTCAAATTTGTGAAAAGTTGTGACCAATGCCAACGAATGGGAAATTTGTCCCAAAGAAATGAGATTCCCTTAAAGAATATTCTAGAAGTTGAACTTTTCGATGTTTGGGGTATTGATTTCATGGGACCATTTCACATGTCTTTTAGTAATCAATACATTTTGGTTGTGGTTGATTATGTCTCCAAATGGATAGAGGCTAAGGCTTGCCCAAGAAATGATGCCAAAACGGTAATGGAATTTTTGCATAAAAACATTCTTGTTCGTTTTGGAACTACTCGAGCCTTGATAAGCAATGAAGGGACTCATTTCATAAACAAAATTCTAAGTGTCGTTCTTGATAAATACAAGATCCAACATAGAGTTGCCATAGCTTACCATCCGCAAACTAATGGTCTTGCTGAACTTTTCAATCGCGAGATTAAAAATATTTTAGAGAAAGTTGTCAAGCCAAACGGAAAGGATTGGTCGCTCAAATTGGATGATGCATTATGGGCTTACCGTACCACCTTCAAGACTCTTTTGGGCATGTCTCCGTATCAACTTGTTTTTGGAAAAGCTTGTCACCTCCCGTTGGAATTAGAAATCATTTTGGGCTATTAAAGAACTCAATTTAAATGCAAATTATGTGGGAGAGAAAAGAAAGCGCCAACTCAATGAGTTAGAAGAGTGGAGGTATCAAGCCTACGAGAATGCCAAGTTATATAAAGAAAATACAAAAGTGTGGCATGACCGTAGGATCAATCAGCGAGTTTTTGAAAAAGGTCAAAAAGTTCTTCTCTTTAATTCTAGATTAAAGCTTTTTCCCAGAAAGCTTTAATCTAGATGGTCAGGACCTTTCACTATTGTTGAAGTGGAAAATTTTGGAACAATAGATCTTTTAAACCCACATGATAATAGTGTTTTTAAAGTGGATGGTCATCGGATCAAACATTTCTTCCTGGAAGGAATGCAAAATCCAAGCCAAAAATCTCCCTAATTTTTATCATATCATCTGTTGTATATATTTTTGCTCTTTTTACTCTGTGTTTGTATTTTGCAGGTGTGCTCTCTGTAGGCATTTCATACCCACAGTCAAGATTGTTTTGAAAAAATTGATTTTTGGCGGGTATTGTCAAGATTGTTTTGAAAAAAATGATTTTTGGCGGGTATTTGTGTTATTTTCTAAAAGCAAAGAAAAGGAAAGAAAGAAAAAGAGTTAAGAAAAGAAAATGGAAAATGAAAAAAAGATGATGGTTTTTCTAATTTAGGCGGCATGGGTAGGACTTTGACATGACAAAAGCTTTTTATTATTTTATTCAAAATCTTATATGTCTGTTGGGTTTTGCATGTTGGGTAGTTTTGAGAAGGTACCAGTCGGTTTTAGAGAAAAAGGGGCGAAATTGGATTTTGCACTTCATTTTACACTCTTCATCTCCTTTGTTTCTCTCATGGCGAGATCTCGGAAACCCACCGCCGGCTGAGTTCCAACTCGCCGGTCTTTGCGCTGCACGACCGTCGGCGAGTCATCCATTGTTGTTTCCGTCGAAAAGTCTGCCGTCGAATCCGAGCCGTTGTCGCCCGATCCCATTGACTTCGCCACGCTTGCCATAGAGCCTGTCATGGCGACCGTCGGTCAAGCCATGACCGTTCGTATGAAGTACGATGAGTCCCATGTTGTTGTCACTCCGGTGAGCATTCCTCCTTCTCTTCCCCTAGTCACTAAAACCCTAACCACCACTACCACCGGCCCCTCTATTTCACTACAGTCGGTCTCACCCCTTCCACCGCTAAACCCCTTTTCCTCTCCCTATCTTTACCAACACCAACCATTTCTATACCATCACCCATTGTCTATCCTATTCGCAACCAACCATCGCAACAGCCCCCAATACCCCTTGCCTCTACACCACCAGGCACTTCCACCATCCATGACTTTGACCTACACCTTAGTGACACTTTAGGGGAAGATTTCCATTTTGATTTTGAAGAGAACAACCCGTCTAGTAATCAGGAGTTATTTCCATTTTTTGCTCCCCAACCAACTTTGGACCCCCAAGAGGTTGTTGTTCCTATTGAGGCTACATCCACTACTACCCCCAGTGAGCAAGCAGTGGCCTCTGACTCCACTTCGAGGAGTGAAGATAGTTCTAGTTCAGATTCTGAAATACCACCACCGGTGTCCAACAAGAAACCAGTTGAAGAAGGCAGTGACTTTGAGGATGAAATGGAGGAGGAGATGGAGGTTTTGGAGGTTGAAGTGCCCAAACCCACTAGAAAGCGAAAAGTTGCGACAAAGACAAAGAAAGCAGCCCTGACATGCCAGAAAGTCAGAACAGTGCCCTTCTAAGAGAGGTACAATCGCATTAAGAATATTAAAATACTTTTAAACGTGCATTTGACCCCAAGTTGGTCAATGCACTTGTGGCAATCAGGCATCATTTAGTTGCGCTTTAATAGGAGAATATGGTCGTTGTCCCACCCATAGCAAATGTGTCATGGGTTACTGAATTCTACGTGGCTGTGGAAACCACTAAAAGTGTTTCGGTTACCATTCGGGGGAAGAAAGTGGACTGGTGTGGGCCCAAGCTTAATTCGGCCCTTGGTCTTTCACCCTACCCTCCCCCCCCCCCCGTTTGTTCTTTTTCCCAAATTATGAAAGGATCCTTGGAAGTATCCAATTTGGACATTGCATTTTCCCTAACCCTTCCTGATCATGGGTGGTCTCGAGACAACAAACGCCAAATCATTTTGGCTGGCCATTTGAACAAAGAGGCCGAATTATGGTTCCAATTTCTGCGCCATAATCTGATTCCCACGATGCATGATAGCACCATATCGTGGGAACGATGTGTCCTTCTCTATTGTATTATGAGGGAAATATCGGTGGATCTGGGACCCATCATGCATGCATCTATTCGGGCAGCTTCTCAAAGGACACACTCACGATTGGTTTTTCCGGCCCTAATCACTAAGCTCATGGCCGCTGCTCATGTCCCCACTTTTGATTCAGATACTATATTTGTTGGCTCCCCTTTTTTGAGCCAAAACACTATGGATCGCCGAGAGTGAGCTTCTCGGCACTTTCTTAATTTGTAGGATCTGGTACCCGTGGATAATGTTCAGGAAGATTCGGTGGCTCCAATTCTGAATCCTCAATCAACTCAGCCACCTACTACATCGACATCTGAGCCACCGAAGCAAGTTCCCAAAGATCCTACCAATGTGGCTGGGCCTTCCAAGCAGCCCCCCAAAGACCCCCTGGCCTCCGGTTATGGCTCAGCTACATGGTTGTTTGTTTTAGCTTTGCAATGGAAGGAGACAAATTAGAAGTTAGATGCCATTCTGAAGAAGGTTGAGAGTGTTGGAGACCGAGTTACCGGCTTAGAAAAGAAAATAGCCCGTTATTAGGCCTATTCTTGTGATTGGAACTGAGTTGCACGACAAATTCATGGTTGTCAAGACATCCTGCTGACAGCCCAATTCCCACGGTTCCCGAGCGGCCTTCGCCCCCCACAAGTGCGATGCATCCCACCTCTTCACACCACCACGCTAGCCACTATTTATGTTGTTGCTATGACTTCTGTTGTTGCGGCTCCTCTTGTCACTACTATTGCTGTGCCTACTGTTGATATTGCTTATGTTGCTGCTCCTCCAGTCACTGCTTCTGCTGTTCATAACTCCCAGGAAGCAGATCGGGTGTTGTATGTTTGCAGTGAGCAGGTTTGAAGAAAATGGTTAAATACTTTACTTTTCATCAATACTTTTGAACAATATTTTTCGGTTATCATTTTGGGGTACAGTTTGATGATACACTTTTTCATCCATCTTTTGTGTGTTGCTAATGGATTTGTCATAACTTTTGTGTTAAATATTATGACTTGGTGTTGGAATTCTTTTTGGTTTGTCTAGTTCCACTCTTTTTTTAAGGTAAATCATCCTTGTGTGATTTTTTATAGTGTTTATGTTAAAACAGTGGACCCTCCTTTCGTTTGTAAACCTAAACACTTTCCCATTGAACCAAACCCGCGCCACTTATTTTGGTCCCTTTCCCTACAATTGGAACATTATTCATATTAAGTTTGGGGGGAATGTGTTCAAATATATATATATATATATATATATATATACCTTCGGAAAATTGAAAGGTATGAAAAAAAAGTAAAAAAGAAAACAAAAGGCGAAAGTCTTCAAAAAATTTGAAAACAAAAATAAAAACCCATTTGTCTAAAAAAGCAAAAATAGCCAAAGGTATGGGTCGCAAACTTTGCTGATTACTCAAAATTGAATCAATGATAATTTTTGCATCAAACCCTTTTGTAGTATAGGATAAGTTTGGGGGAGGGATATATGCTACCATTGCCGCAAACACTAGCCCTAAAAGTCCTACTAATTAACGGCAACACTATGAAGATCAAGCAGGGAAGTTGTACATCCTCTCTACTAGACGAATATCCAACACCTTCTGTAAGTTTTTGCTTCTATCTCTTTCTTTAGATTTCTTTTTCTTTATTTTATTCTCTTTTACTTGAGGACAAGTAACACCTCAAGTTTGGGGGTATGATAACTCTCAATTTTGAGAGTTATTTGTTGTTCAATACTCCTATTTTTATGTGTTTTATGTACCCACTTTGCTTCTATTATGTATTCTTGGTCTAAAATGTTTTAAGAGGTGATGAAAGGTCAAGAATTTGATTATTTTCTGAAAAATCGTTGATGTTGGAAAAAAGCCCACTGTTTGCTCACTTTCTGCCCACTTCAGTATTCTCTACCAGGCGCATTTGGATAAATTTAAATACTTGTTCTTCTGGGTATTTAAAAGAATTAATTTTGCAGTCAGATCTGAAAATCTCGCTTTATTTAAAGAAATGGGCCTTGTTGAATAAAAAATGTCTTAAAGTAGTCCTCCCTTTATTTTAATGAAAACTCCATCTTTACCTTTTCTTTACTTTAAGGGTAAGGCCAACTTTACCATTTTCATCCTTTCAAAAAAGGTGACAAGGCCAGAAAAGCTTACAAGAAGTGATAGAAAGTCTTTGCCCTCTAGATAAATAAGGATTTCTTCCTTCGGGTAAAAGGGATGTCCATCTCTCCCTTTTCTCCTATAAATTGTAGCATTTACTCACTTGGAAGTAACCACCTTGGAGCATTTACTCTCAACTGAAGATTTGGAGCAGTAGAGCAAGTTTAATTTATGTATTTACTTTTAATTTCGTATTTAACTTTCAGTTTTGCTTATGTGCATTGTATGCCCCTGTGGGCAACAGTTTTAGTGAAATTTCCATTCAAGTATTTCTTATGCATTTCTCTTCTTCTTTTTCCTCTATGTTCTATAATTTCAATATGAGCTAATGTGATAACTGGGTCTTAGTTAATTCCTAAGGTAATTAATATGTGCTTATCAGTTTACTGATTATGTGACAGCATGATAAATTGTTATATTTGATCATGCAAATATGTGAAATTTTATGCATAAGAGATTTTATGCATGATGTGAAATGCATACATATATATATATATGTGTGTGTGTGTGTGTGTGAAAGATTTATATGTATATATGCATACATATATGTGAATAGGCAAAGGTGGATGCATGAATATGCATGTGTGTATGTATGCATGCATGTGAAGGAATGGCTTAGCCGCCATACCTCTTTTGGAAAAGTATAAAAAGAGGTTGAAGCCTCATTTCTCTTCTTCTTGCCATTTTTGAAAACTTGTTGAGCGATTTAAAAAGAGAGAGAGAGAGAGATTTGACCGGATTGCTTATTTTAATTGCAAGAAGTTGGTTTCTAAAAGGTGAGTGGTTAAATGCTTTCAAAATGCTTTAAATTATGTTTTAATGAGTTTTGAAGAGTTTACTTGAATGTTGTCCAGATTAATATAAACCGGACAAGTGTTGAGCGGGTTCCAGCTTAAATCGATCAAGGCACAAGCGGTTTAAGGCTAAACCGCCCGAGGTGTTAAAATGATATAATCTTAAACCGGACTAGGGTTGAACGAATTAAGTTTAAACCGGACATGCTTTAACTGGTTTAAGGATAAATCGACTATATGTGTTAACCGGTTTAAGTTATGAGCGATTTAAGAATTTTGGAACTTATGTTGTGTTTCAATCGGAGAAGTATGAATACGACAAAAAGGGGTGACTGGTTTATTTTAAATCGGGCAATTATGCATAGTGTTGTCCGGATTTGTTATCCAGACAAAAGAGTTGGATATTTATTTCTAATAGTGTTAAATCGGACAAAGCTATGTGAAGTGTTGTCCGGATTTGTTATCCAGACAAGGTTGACCGGATTACATGTTGACTTGTCAAATGATGATATTTTTAAACAATAAATGGGAAATTTGACAAAATGAATTTGAACTGATAATAATTTCATTGACTGCGGTCTATTCTAAATGGAATTGTTTTATGAAATATCTTGATGGGGAAATAAGGGTGGCATATTAAGGAGAGGTGTACCATGGGATAAGGTGGCATATCAAGGAGAGGTGTACATTTGGATATAAGGGTGGCATTTGTGTGTGTGTTATGTAATATAACTCTTACTATTATATCCTTTAAGATTACCGTGGTCTAGAATCTTTATTTCTTTGTGATTTAAAGATTTAGGATCAAGGTTCTTATTGGAAATCATAGTCTAGATGTTATTAAGAAGAAGATACCAGGTTTGGCCTGAAACTTTGAATAAACCTATTTGATTTGAGAGGTTTAAAAGTGGCATTCTAACAATCTGGTTAGTGTAAACCTGTTTGGATTTGATGTTTTGTTTGCAAGCAGAGATTTTGGCTTGAAAAGTGAAAGGTATTGGTATTACGTTCTTACTTGTTCATATATTTGTGATATATATGAAAAGTTGATTATTTAAAGGTTTTTGGTGATTTTCACCCCACAATAACATAAATAGGGTAACTCACTAGACCGTTCGGTCTAACCCTCGTTTTGTGATTTTAAATATGTATTGCAGGAAGTGTCGACGGTAAGGGGAAGGGAAAAATGTAATATTTTCCCTATGTGAATATCTGCGTGAAGATTTACTGACGACATGTATAGTTTTGATWGATAAAACGGGTTTAGTGCAAGAATTGTATTTGGAATTTTTGGACCATGTATTTTATAATGGTAGATTCTTGTACTAAGGGACCAATGTGGTGTACAAACATGTATTTCTTTTATATGAAGTATATGTTACATGCATTGTGTGGAATGGGGTGTTACAGAAAGTGGTATCAGAGTCTGAGTTTAAGGGATTTAGGTATTCAGCAGCATGATACCTAGACTTAAACTGTTTCATTTGCATGTCAAGGGTCGCGGACATAGTTAGCACCATTGGAAATAAATATGATGRGTTRAAAGAASAGTGTGTAAGGKAAATTTTAATTACATCTGGCCAGTGTAATTATGAATTTACAGGTACACATCTGAACTTGAATACTACATTATATTTGGGAATGTGAATACGTGATTATTGACACTAAAATCTGCAGATGTCTAGCCGAACTCGGAGATCTGAAAGAACGGCTCGACCAGAATCTGAGGAAAGAGGGCAATCACCCGTTAATCTTCTGACTAGCACATTTGGAAATAGAGGTCGGGGAAGACCAAGGGGTCGAGGTAGAGGGAAAATTCAGTCTCAAGGAAGAGGTCAGACTGAAGTACATTTTGAACATGAAAAATCCCATTCTGGGAATGTTCAGGAAAGATCGGTACCACACCCGGAATATGTAACCACGGATATGTTGGCAGAGAAAATGGGGAAGTTGTGGGAAACTCTGACATCTATTATGGGAATACCAGCTAGGGTAGAAACAGAGAGAGTAAAAGTTCATCCCTTTGTACCGGTTACTCATAATATAGAGGGAGATATCAAGATGTTTTTGGCATGTAAGCCACCAACCTTTTTTGGGGAAAGGGATCCAGTGAAAACTATGTGCTGGATCAAGGAGATGGAATCTGTGTTCAACACCATTCGGTGTCCTGAAACAGATAAAGTTTGATTTGTTGTTTCAGTATTGAAATCAAATGCTTTGTTCTGGTGAGAAGTTGAATCATCGGCCAGAACAGATGTCTTACAGACATTGTCTTGGAAAGAATTTGTGAACCGATTCAAAGATCAGTTTTGTCATAAGACAGCAGTGAGACAAATGGAAGAAGATTTCTTGAAACTGGAGAAGGGAAATGGAATAGTTCGGGAGTATACCGAGAAATTCATTGAATACTCTCGATTTGCCGAGCACTATGTTTCATCAAAATCCAGGAAAATAGAAAGGTACATCTGGGGTTTGAAACCCTCAATTAGAGAGTTTGTAAATGCTATGAACCCCAATACCTTTTCACTGACGGTAGATGTGGCTGAAGTGACAGAACAAAATAAGAATTGACAATCAGAAGGAAAAGTTGTAGAGAAAAGAAAGTGGGAGGGGTCTTCATCGAACTTTCAAGGGCCGAAAACCGTGAGATATGATAATAGAGTTGATCAAAAAGTCGATGAGAAAGTATGTACGCAATGTCGACAGGTTCATCAGGGTGAGTGCAAGATGGACCCAAGAAAATGTTTTAAGTGTGGTGAAGCAGACCATTTGTCAAGAAGTTGCCTAGCTAATAAAAGATGTTTCAATTGCAAGTCTCCATATCATATTCGACCGAACTATCCATTGTTAAGAACTCCACAGCTGACAATGGGAAGTAATGCATCGGGTACTCAGGGAAGACCTACTATGAATAGAGGAGGGCAAGGAGGGGCACGAGGACGGTCCTTCTAGATGACAAAGAATAAGGCAGAGGCGTCACCAGATGTAGTAATAGGTACCTTCCTTCTGAATTATATACATGCTAAGGTGTTATTTGACTTTGGTGCAAACTTTTCTTTTGTATCACCATCGTTTGCTCAAACTGCATGCTTGAATTATGTGTTACTTGATGACGAATTAGCAGTTGATACTGCTAATAGTCAGGAAACTGTTACTAGTGTATTCAATAATTGTATTATTGTTATTGAGGGTTGTGAACTACCGATTCGGTTATTCCTTATGCCGATGAAGAAATTTGATGTAGTGGTGGGTATGGACTAGTTGGCAAAGTATCAGGCTAGTATTGTTTGCAATCAGAAAATGATCAGAATCACTCTGCCAAATCAAGGAATAATTGTTATATATGGTGATCGTCAAAATCACCATACTAGTATTTTGACTGTGATGAAAGCTCAGAAAAGTATTCAAAAGAAGTGCCACGGATGTTTAGCATATGTAATTGATATGAAGAAAGAGAAAGGAAAAGAAGAATCAATTCCAATTATTAATAAATATCTGGAAGTCTTTCTAGAGGACTTATCTGGACTACTGTTGTATTAAGTAATCGAATTCCAAATTGATCTCGTACCAGGGGCTACACCAGTAGCAAAGGCACCGTACCGATTAGCTCCATCTGAATTGAAAGAATTGGTTGCACAGTTGAAAGATCTGACTATTAAGGATTTATTAGACCCAGTACTTCACCTTGGGGTGCTCCAGTCTTATTTGTCAAAAAGAAAGATGGGTCTATGCGAAAGTGTATAGACGATCGTGAATTGAACAAATTGACGATTAAGAACAAATATCCTTTACCAAGGATTGATGATTTGTTCGATCAATTGGTGGAAGCAAGTTATTTCTCCAAATTTGATTTATGATCGGGATATTATCAATTAAAAATCAAGAAGGAAGACATTGCTACAACAGCTTTCTGAACTAGGTACAGGCACCACGAATTTTTAGTTATGCCTTTTGGCTTAACTAATACGCCCGCACCCTTTATGGATTTGATGAATAGGGTATGTAAGGAATATCTTCATAAATTCGTTACTGTATTTATTGATGATATTCTTATATACTCTAAGACAGAAGAAGAGCACGCGGACATCTTCGCTTGATACTGGAATTGTTGAAAAAGGAAAAGTTGTATGCCAAGTTGTCTAAATGTAACTTTTGGTTAAGAGAAGTTCAGTTTCTGGGTCATGTCATATCAGAGGAAGGAGTAAAGGTAGATCCAGCTAAAATAGAAGCAGTTGTAAAGTGGGAAGCTCCGAAAACTCCTTCTGAAGTCCAAAGCTTTTTGGGACTGGCAGGTTACTATCTTAAGTTCATTTAGGATTTTTGTAAAATAGTCGTGCCATTGACCAGATTGACTCGGAAGAATATTAAATTTCAGTGGGAAAAAGAACAGCAAGAGGCTTTTCAATTATTAAAGGATCATCTTTGCAATGCACCAGTGTTAACCCTACCTGATGGATCTGAAGATTTTGTGGTATACAGTGATGCTTCAAAGCTGGGATTGGGATGTGTTTTGATGCAAAGAGGAAAAGTAATTTCTTATGCGTCGAGGCAATTGAAAGATCATGAGAAGCAGTATCCAACTCATGATATGGAATTAACTGTAGTGGTGTTTGCTTTGAAAATTTGGAGACATTATCTTCTGGGGACAAAGTGTCAGATTTATACTGATCACAAAAGTTTGCAACATTTGTTTAGCCAGAAAGAATTAAATATGCGACAGCGTCGGTGGATTGAACTTGTAAATGATTATGAATGTGAAATCCTTTACCAACATGGTAGCTGATGCTCTTAGCAGGAACGAAAAGAGCAGAACTATTAAAGTTGTAGCAATGAGAATGAACTTGGTCCTTGATATTCGTAAAGAAATTCTAAAATGTCAGAAATAAGCCATGAGAGAAGAATTTGTCAAAACAAAAAGGTTGCGTAAGATTATTTCAACCTTGGAACCAAACAACGAAGAAATAATGTGCTTTCAAGGGCGAGTCTGGGTACCGTGTTTTGGAGATATCCAGAACACTATATTAAATGAAAGTCATAAGTCTCGATACTCTATTCATCCCGGTACCAATAAGATGTACAGAGATTTAAAATATTTTTATTGGTGGCCAGGATTGAAGAGAGACATAGCCAGATATGTGGAACAACGTCTAACATGTCTATAGGTTAAGATTGAACATCAAAAGCCCTATAGAAGCCTTCAAACTTTGGAGATACCTGTATGGAAATGGAATCATAATACAATGGATTTCGTCATGAAATTACCTCGAACTCAAAAGGGGTATGATGCAATCTGGGTAATCGTTGATCGCTTGTCTAAATTTGCACATTTTCTACCTATAAGAGAGGGATACTCTCTAGAAAGGTTGGCGCAAATTTATATTAAAGAAATTATAACTAGACATGGAGTTCCACTATCTATTATCTCTGATAGAGATAGTCAGTTTACTTCAAAGTTTTAGGAAAGTTTGCAAAAAGCTTTGGGGTCTGAAATACGACTAAGCATAGCTTATCATCCGCAAACTGACGGACAGAGTGAAAGAACTATCCAGACTCTCGAAGACATGTTGAAAAGTTGTATTATTGACTTCGGAGTATCGTGGGAAGATCATTTGTCATTGATAGAGTTTGCATAAAATAACAGTTATCATTCCAGCATCCAAACGGCACCATGTGAAGTATTGTATAGACGTAAATGCCGAACGCCGTTATGTTGGGACGAGGTAGGTGAAAGACAGTTGATGGGTCCTAAGATTGTCCAAGAAACTTCTGAAAAGATTGAACAGATCCGTGAAAGAATTAAAACAGCACAAGACCGCCAGAATAGTTATACTGATAATCGTCGAAAGCCAATTGAATTTTGTGTAGGTGATTTTGTGATGCTGAAAGTTTCGCCGTGGAAGGGTGTCATCAGATTTGGAAAGAAAGGTAAGCTCAGTCCGAGGTATGTTGGGCCATTCAGAATATGCAAACGAATCGGGCCAGTGGCATATCAGTTAGAACTACTAGAAGAACTAAGTCTGATTCAAAACACTTTCCACGTATTGAATCTGCAGAAATATTTAGCTGATCTGAGTCTCACTGTACCATTACCGGAGATTAAACTGGATGATAAACTGAACTTTGTGGAAACACCAGAACATGAGATTGACCGAAAGATTAGAGTGTTAAAAAACAAAGATATCAGTTTGGTTAAAGTACAGTGGAAGTTTCACAAAGGACCAGAAGCGACATGAAAACTGGAATCGGAAATTAAATCAGAATAACCATGGCTCTTTAATTAAAGGAATTCTGGGACAGAATTCTTTTGAGAGGTGGATAATGTGATAACTGGGTCTTGGTTATCTCCTTAGGTAATTAATATATGCTTATCTGTTTACTGATTATGTGACAGCATGATAAATTGTTATATTTGATCATGCAAATATGTGAAATTTTATGCACGATGTGAAATGCATATACATATATATATATATATATATGCAAAATTTATATGTATATATGCATACATATATGTGAATATGCAAAGGTGGATGCATGAATATACATGTGTGTATGTATGCATGCATGTGAAGGGGCAGCTTAGCCGCCATACCTCTTTTGGAAAAGTATAAAAAGAGGTTGAAGCCTCATTTCTCTTCTTCTTGCCATTTTTGAAAACTTGTTGAGCGATTTAAAGAGAGAAAGATTTGACCAGATTGCTTATTTGAATTGCAAGAAGTTGGTTTCAAAAAGGTGAGTGGTTAAATGCTTTCAAAATGCTTTAACTTATGTTTTATTGAGTTTTGAAGAGTTTACTTGAATGTTGTCCGGATTAATATAAACCGGACAAGTGTTGAGCGGGTTCTAGCTTAAATCGATCAAGGCACAAGCGGTTTAAGGCTAAACCGCCCGAGGTGTTAAAATGATATAATCTTAAACCAGACAAGGGTTGAACAGATTAAGTTTAAACCGGACATGCTTTAACCGGTTTAAGGATAAATCGAGTAAATGTGTTAACCAGTTTAAGTTATGAGCGATTTAAGAATTCTGGAACTTGTGTTGTGTATCAATCGGAGAAGTATGAATACGGCAAAAAGAGGTGACCAGTTTATTTTAAATCGGACGATTATGCATAGTGTTGTCCGGATTTGTTATCCGGACAAAAGTGTTGGAAATTTATTTCTAAAAGTGTTAAATCGGACAAAGCTATGTGAAGTGTTGTCCGGATTTGTTATCCGGACAAGGTTGACCGAATTACATGTTGACTTGTCAAATGATAATTTTAAACAATAAATGGGAAATTTGACAAAATGAATTTGAACTGATAATAATTCCATTGACTGCGAGATATTCTAAATGGAATTGTTTTATAAAATATTTTGATGGGGAAATAAGGGTGGCATATCAAGGACAGGTGTACCATGGGATAAGGGTGACATATCAAGGAGAGGTGTATATTTGGATATAAGGGTGGCATTTGTGTGTGTGTGTTATGTAATATAACTCTTACTATTATATCCTTTAAGATTACCGTGGTCTGGAATCTTTATTTCTTTGTGATTTAAAGATTTAGGATCAAAGTTCTTATTGGAAATCATAGTCTAGATGTTACTAAGAAGAAGATAACAGGCTTGACCTGAAACTTTGAATAAACCTATTTGATTTGAGAGGTTTAAAAGTGGCATTCTAACAATCTGCTTAGTGTAAACCTGTTTGGATTTGATGTTTTGTTTGCAAGCAGAGAATTTGACTTGAAAAGAGAAAGGTATTGGTATTACGTTCTTACTTGTTCATATATTTGTGATATATATGAAAAGTTGATTATTTAAAGGTTTTTGGTGATTTTCACCCCGCAATAACATAACTAGGGTAACTCACTAGACCTTTCGGTCTAACCCTCGTTTTGTGATTTTAAATATGTATTGCAAGAAGTGTCGACGGTAAGGAGAAGGAAAAAATATAATATTTTCCCTATGTGAATATCTGCGTGAAGATTTACTGACGACATGTATAGTTTTGATAGATAAAACKGGTTTAGTGCAAGAATTGTATTTGGAATTTTTGGACCATGTATTTTATAATGGTAGATTCTTSTACTAAGGGACCAATGTGGTGTACAAACATGTATTTCTTTTATATGWAGTATATGTTACATTCAATGTGTGGGGTGTTACAGCTAATCACCCCTTTAGGTGTGGGTGAGAGTCAAACTTAAGAACTTGAAGGCACACTTGGGTGTTGCCATTTTTATTAATTCTTAAGCTTGGTCACGTTAAGTCGGGACTTAAGCTCAACGCAGATAAGCCAATCACTTTGAAGTGTTAATATTAGATCATTGATCCATAGATGGACGGATTCGAAATACGGCTTAAGTGATGCACAAAGATTTGAGAGAGTCTTTGATAATCACATAGAGATACGGATTCTGCATGTTTTTAGCTAATGTTCGGATATTAGTCGAGATTTATACTACAAAGAGATTTGAGTATAAATCTTCAGGCTAGTAGAACCAGATATCTTTTTATTACTTAACTAATTCGGCAAGCTTAAAACTGATAAAAGTGGACACTTTGTGGGCACTCTGTGGGCACAATATATAAGAATTCGCTTTCGAGAGATTGTAGTTTTTATAGAAGTCCCATTAGTCTTTGACCATATTGTTCCTACAATCTTCTTAAGGGAAACTTACACCCATACTCATCTTTTAATTTTAAAAGTTTATTACGTATTTTAAAGCTTTGCACCAACAAAACTTAACTCTTATTCACAAACAGAAACATGCTCAAGAAGTTCATGAAACTCTCTGGTTCTCTGTAGTGCAGTCCCTGTGACGATATTGGTACTATACCACTTTATTACTTGAAGTGATCATAGTGTCGACGTGCAGTTGCACCGCCACTGTGGGGACTTTGTGCCGACTGTGTGAACAATTTCGATTCCAAGCCAACACCCATGTTATTATTTATGGCAATAACCCTTGGTTATGTCAACAATGGCTTTAAGAAGATAATAAACGTTCATTATTTTTGGTAATTTGCTTTTGAAGGCTTTCATTATTATTGCCAACTATATTACATCTCAAAATATGTATCCTTTTACCTAATGAAGCTTGTAAATATCGATTGATATATGATTTTATTGACTTGATGTTAGAAATTTGTGTTTATACTTTAAATGCAAGACAAGAAAAGCCAAGGTTTATTAAGCCATAACGGTACGTTCGATATACGGATGATAGTAGATATGATGGAGTGGATAATTGTTGTTCCCAAAATCATACAAATCAGATTTAATCTTCAAAAATAGGAACAAGATTAGTAGAGAGAGAATTTCACCAAATATTGTCTTGTATTTCTTGAGAGAAAGTACAAGATGATTAACAACTAATCTGAAAATTATGAAATGAAGTAATGACAATTAAGAGACTAAATCCTATTTATACTAAGGAAATAGTAAATGCTAACTATTACAAAAACATTACAATGGGAGAACTTGAATACAACATTTAAGCATAAACTTGAACCCAACAACAGTTAAGAGTGTGATCGTCCTGTGAAAAAAATATCATATTTTCTTTTAAGGTTTTTATATAAGAACATCTCAACGGCTAATGCTACAATTTTAAAAAAAAAATGAAAGTATCAAAAATCTAAATCTGTAAATAATATCCAACTCTAACAGCTATTTTATTTTGACAACTATAACATTAATTATATTATTAAAATATTTCATAATTATTATCATAATACACTTTTATAAAAGCTTTATATAAAAAGTTAGGGTTAAATACATGAAATAGTAACCTACTTTCATAAATTTTTTTATTATAGCATTCTACTTTTGTTTTTCTTTATTACAACAATGTAATTTCAAATTATTTTTTATTAAGGCGTCGTACTTTAAAAAATATACTTATAATAGCAATAGCTAACCTGTTACCTTTTAAACCGGTTAATTCATTGACTTTTTTTTTCTTGTGTGGCTTTAATGAGGTGATGTGGATGTCACATCATTTTGATGGCTTAACTAAAATAAAAATAAAAATCTATTTTAAATTATTATTAGTAATTTTAATTGCTATTATCTAAAAAAAATTAATTTTTTTGACTTTTTCTTTTTAAG